TATAGCTTCAAAAGCATTGTAGAACAGTCTCTCCATCCCCCCCTTGCATCTCATACACATGCGCGAAAACAGCACGAAATTCTGCATCAAAAACTAGTGTAAAAGGATTTTTGACTAACATGTAGATCCAGAAGAAAGCGATTTGCATTTTCTAGTTTTCTGGAAAAAGGTAGCTTCTGATGCGCGGTTTTGGCCTTGTCAGTAAAACGCTCGCTATTTAGTGAGATTCAGTCTGTTTTTGCTAAATTTTTGTTTGTTTTAAAGCGTGTGGTCTCAGCTACCGGCTAGTCACATTCTTCAAGTCATAGTTCATAGTTCGACGGCTTCACTTACGCTGGACCAAGAAATAAAGTGATTTTGTACTACTTTCAGAAAACCTTCGTTATGCGTCGTTCAGTTCATCTACAAAATTCATTTTGTAGTGCATCGGATAAAGCACATTTTATTTCAGTAGAAAACTAGACGTAGGTATACCGGCGGAGAAAATCAAAGAAACTATTGCCATTCTCCCTTTAGAAAGTTAGCACTTTGACCTATCTTTATCTTTTCTTTTATAACTCCGTCATACTTTATACTACAAAATTTATTTAAACGCAGTTTTGTAGAGAATTCAACGGTGCTCCTTTTGAAAAAATCCTGGCCCGATCGAATAAAAATTGTCCGAGTTATAGCGAATACAAAAAAGTCCCATTCCTTATGGGACACCTGTTAGTATCATTTTTAAAAATAATTGAAGATTCAACAAAAATATTATCATCATCAATAAAGTATCCGAGCAGTAACACCATCTAAAAGAAGAATATCAGAACGTGATAATGAAGAAAAACACCATTACAGACATAAATAACTAATCACTTATCACTTAATGTTAAATCAGTCGATGATGTATTATATTGGTGGAAGAATAACAAACAAACCTATAAAACAATAGCGAAATTAGCATCAATAATTCTAGGAATACCTGCTACATCATATCCAGCTGAAGAAATATTTTCTACAACTGGTCTTATACCATCTGCCAAGGGACTATTCGGCCACCTCTTGGTCACTAACGGGGGTTGGAGGGATAGTCGAAAACTTATGTTTGTCTACGTGAGACAGGGAGGAACTGAAATGTTCACGTTGTCCGTGGATCTCTAAACGAGTTGATAAAACAATATTTTTGATTGGACACAAACGCTCACTGAGTCTTATTTAAATGGCCTAAACACACTCTTGGCTAAAATTTCAATCCAATGTTTTAATAGCTTTGCGTTATAACTAATAAGTCTGTGTTGGATACTCCCATCAATATTGACTACATTTAGAAAAAATCGTAACTTTTCAACGGAACTTGAACTTCCATTTTTGGTCATCAAGTTATCGACTGTAAAAATGCTGTAGTATTCGAAAGATACGTATTAACTTTGTAACACCAATTAAATAGGCCATAACCAGAAATACTTCAGTAGTATGTAGCACCTATTTTTGCTTCAATTTTTTATTTTACGCAGAAATTGTCGCTCTATAATGCACATTGTATCTCATTTACACTCGTGAATCAGAAGAATTATTTAATCCAATCTTTTGAAGTTCAAAAAGGAATCAGTTATTTTTCCTTGAAGTTTCATAACTAAAAATTGAAAAAAGTAATCTGTCCTGTTCAGTTTTTGCATGCTCTTTCTAGTTGTATTTTGATTTGATAACCCTTCCTTGATTTTGCCCTAATCATATTATATGGCACAGTGGATATCGTATGATATGAATCAATGTAGTGGAAACAGTCACAACTTTTAATTTATTTAGCTGGTTCTCAGCTTAGTTAAATCTTAAGTGAAATTAATATAAGTGAAAAAACATCTTTTATCTCGACGAGCTGCGATTTTTAAATCTAGTAAATATGTTATAAACATAATTGTGAAGGAGAGATCAAAATTAGACCTGTGATACTGTCCATGAAGTAGGAGCGAGTCGTTAAAGGTAAAATTATTGCTTAGCAAAGCGGAAACTATCAAAACATGTACAAAACGAAGAATGACTGGCTTCTGTTTGTGCATCTTACCTTACAGCGGTCACAAAACAAAATATGCTTGAATATATGGACGATGATGGCACACAATATATTTCGTTTAACTATGATTGAATCCAATTACACGATCCTTCGAGGATTGAACAATTTCTTATTGAGATGGCACCATCAAAAATTAACGATTCCTTAGGCTTTAAATGGATATCCGTTCACAATCCACCGAAAGCGACAAACTATGAAATACCAAACATCAGTGCTCTACGTCAAGAATATTAACAACTACGACAACTCAATTTATTCCAACTAGAGCGTTTAGCAAGAAAGTACAATGTGTTGAGTGGAAAACGGATGTTTTGTGCCAACATCACACTTTGACTACGTCTGATCGTGTATTGCTCGTGCTGTCGTCCAAGGTCGCCTCGGATATTTAGCAAAAGTAGCCGTATCTCGACGCGGTGGTTGAATAATTCACGCTATCTGCATCTATACGAACAATTACTTGGATTTGGTAGAAAGAAACATCATGAAATATGAGTTGAAAAATATTTTAATCGAAGCGAATACGCATGTTCGTCGACTGTCATACAAACCTGATATTTATACACATCTAAGTATTTATCAATATCATCCTGTTTTTTCCGAAACTATTGACGGGATCAGATGGTGATTGTTTAAAAAATTATTTACAGACGAAACCAGCATTATACGACAATAGATTTATGAGAAAACAATATATAACTGAATGTCTATTATATTCAAATTTGAAAAGTTCAATAATACTCTTTCCACGTATGCAGTAAAAAACCAACGAAAATGAATATGAAACAAAGAAACATTAGCTTTTTTTTCTGTGTATTGAAATAGAATACAATAAGATACGAAACAAATGTCAGTAGAGATATATCTTAGGCAAATGTATATTTCTATTTAACTGCTGTGGACCTATTATGTTTTTACAATACATCGCAGTTTGACCTTGACTGCTGACACTTGCGTATTGTTTTCAGTTCAAATATTTTGTTTTCATTATTACACATTTTTCCAAAGGAAAAATTGCACTCGGTGATAGCACTTACATCACGTTAATTTTCGTCATACGTGAAGAAAGTATACGGTATTTTTGGGAGAGTATCATTCCACATTTGGGTGACACGAGTGGTGAACTTTCGTAACCAACTGTGTAACATACCTACAACTAGCCGATGACCAAAGTGCTGTAAAATGTATTTTTAGTTGTTAAAATTTCTTCCAAATTTCTGTTACATGTCAACTAGCGCGTTAGTTACGAAGAATTAACGTGTTACAACGTATAAAATAAAATATTCCGTTAAAACGCGCTATTTGAACCATTTCATGCCGTACTACAAATAGAATCTGTTAACACCTTACAACGGTATAAAATCTGTAAATTGTGTGCCCACGAAAGCCATTTTTTAAATAACTTTTATTCGGTGACTTGCGGTGACGTTGAAATCGCATGAAACATATGTAGTCAGCAACGCGGAATCTAACGGCAATGCTCGTTTTTGGAAAAGAATTCCAAAACATAGGTTTATGCTGCGAGTTTCAGAGTTATGGCTCGGTTTTCCAGAGGTCTTCTTAAAAACCGTTTTTTAAAACTTGTTTGGAAAGCTCGTCTGTTACATAAAGATACGGTGATGTCTTGGCTATTGAATGACGAAAGCCACAACTCTAGAGCTATTCTTAGTCAAAAGTTATTTAAAAAATGGCTTTCGTAGGCGTACAGCAATAAACCGTTACGACACCAAAAATGAATTAAAGCAAATTTTTTAGACAAACAAGGCAAAAATTAAAAAAACTGACTCACACAATCGATAGAGCTTGAAAAGTTCTATCGAACGATATATCGCATGATTTGCTTGCATTTGTTCTGACATTAGGAAAATTTACTTTGTCCACTGGAGTGCCACTAATCAGTACCAATTAGAACTAGTTAGCAATTAAAAGAACGGTCAGAAATATCCTTTTCAAACTTATATTTTATGGAATTATATCTACAAACAATGCTCTATAAAACTACATTGCAATCAAGTGAATGTAACAGTTCTATCGAAAACTAGAAAGGTTTTAAAAGATGCCTCGCAAACTAAAAATTTCAGTGAATTTTGAAATTAATTAATTAATAACTCTGTGAATACTTGATGAACGAACTTTTTTATCGGATAGGCATACAATCGAAGGTGTTCTCTACAAACTGGTCAAGTTTGAGGGCATGTTTGGAGGAGGAACCCCCCTTAATTTCGCACATTAGACTATGGAGCAAAGTTTTTGTGAGTGTTTCAGCTAAAAAAGGGAATATTTAGCCTGTTTGCTGTTCGAAACAACATAAAAATAAATATTTTCATAACTTTTGAGCAAATGAAATACTTAATAGTATTAAATACTTATCAGAATCCTTAAGATTTTTTTCTAAATTCCTGAACGAGCAGATACGGCAAACAGTTTCTCCAGAATATTAAGTTACTTTGAAATTTGCCGTCTGCTATTTATTGTCCGACATCATACAGAAAAGTACTTTCAAATGAAACTATCAATATCAATGAAGCTAGAATAACTTTTGCTACAGCATCTAAACGTGAAGTTTTTCCGTCAATTTTGGCAATGACAAGAAAAAGCATGCGCCGGCGTGTGCTTCAATCGGTGAACGTCTCATTTTTGTCGCCTTCGAATCAGTAGTACGGTTAACATCCAGCGGAACCAAGTACCTTTGATAATAAAAGTTATCCAACACTTAACTAAGCTGCATTAGTGTTTGCTGCTTCATATTTACACAAAGTTTGACGAAGAAGCTAATAAACAAGTTAACGATTATAGTGATGATTTATTTAAAAATGCTAAGATATTTATGTCTGTAGGATTAACCTTATAACCAGTATCTTATCCAACACTTTAATCACACTAAAAAGGAGTCCATATTTTAAAAAATCCTATACGAGAATCAAAATTAATTTTGTAATTGACGCACGTTCTCTTAGACACACGTTCCAAGAAATATAACGACGCTGTTATCACCGTTATCTGCAACAGCTAAATTATTTCTGCCATCACCACTGAAATCACCTCTTGTCACAGAAACTGGGTTACTCCCAGTTTCAAGAGCGACTTGACTCGAAAATGTTCCGTCGCCCCTACCAACCAATATACTGACTGTGTTATCACCGTTATTTGCAACGCCCAAGTCAGTTCTGTTATCACCGTTGAAATCACCTGTTGTGATAGAAAATGGAGAATTCCCTGTTCCATATGGCACTTGACCCTGAAAAGTTCCATCGCCGTTACAAAGCAATATACTAACGGAGTTATCACCGTAATTCGCAACAGCCAAATCAGTTATGTTATCACCATTGAAATCACCTGTTGTGACAAAATATGGATAATTCCCAGTTCTACATGTGACTTGACTTTGAAATGTTCCGTTGCCGTTACCGAGGAATATACTGACGGTGTTAGAACCATAATTTGCAACAGCCAAATCAGTTATGTTATCATCGTTGAAATCACCTGTTGTGACAGAATTTGGATTATTCCCACTTTTAGACGTTATTTGACTTTGAAATGTTCCGTTGACGTTACCGAGGAGTATACTGACGGTATTAGAACCATAATTTGCAATAGTCAAATCAGTTATGTTATCACCGTTGAAATCACCTGTTGTGACAGAAAATGGAAAATTCTCCGTTCCATATGCGACTTGCCTTTGAAATGTTCCGTCGCCGTTACCGAGCAATATACTGACGGTGTCAGTGGCACTATTTGCGACAGCCAAATCAGTTCTGTTATCACCGTTGAAATCACCTGTTGCCACAGAAACTGGATAATTCTCCGTTCCATATGCGACTTGACTTTGAAACGTTCCGTTACCGTTACCGAGGAATATACTGACGGTGTTAGTGCCACCATTTGCGACAGCCAAATCAGTTCTCTTATCATCATTGAAATCACCTGTTGTCACAAAGGTTGGATAATTCCCCGTTCCATATGTGACTTGACTTTGAAATGTTCCGTTGCCGTTACCGAGGAATATACTGACGGTGTTAGAACCATAATTTGCAACAGTCAAATCAGTTATGTTATCGCCATTGAAATCACCTGTTGTGATAGAATTTGGATTAATCCCACTTTTAGATGTTATTTGACTTTGAAATGTTCTGTTGCCGTTAGATACCAATATACTGATGGTATTATCATAGTAATTTGCAACAGCCAAATCGGTTCTGTTATCAGCGTTGAAATCACCTGTTGTCACAGAAATTGGAGAATTCCCTGTTTTATATGTGACTTGCCTTTGAAATGTTCCGTTGCCGTTACCGAGGAATATACTGACGGTGTTAGAGCCATAATTTGCAACAGCCAAATCAGTTCTCTTATCATCATTGAAATCACCTGCTGTGACAGAAAATGGAGAATTCCCTGTTTTATATGTGACTTGACTTTGAAATATTCCATCGCCGTTACATAGCAATATACTAACGGAGTTATTACCGTTATTCGCAACAGCCAAATCAGTTATCTTATCACCATTGAAATCACCTGTTGTCACATAAGCTGGATAATTCCCGGTTTCATATGTGACTTGACTTTGAAATGTTCCGTTGCCGTTAGATACCAATATACTGACGGTATTATCATAGTAATTTGCAACAGCCAAATCGGTTCTGTTATCAGCGTTGAAATCACCTGTTGTCACAGAAATTGGAGAATCCCCTGTTTTATATGTGACTTGACTTTGAAATGTTCCGTTGCCGTTACCGAGGAATATACTGACGGTGTTAGAGCCATAATTTGCAACAGCCAAATCAGTTATGTTATCACCATTGAAATCATCTGTTGTCACAGAAGCTGGAGAATTCCCTGTTTGATATGTGACTTGAGTTTGAAATGTTCCGTTGCCGTTGCCGAGGAATATACTGACGGTGTTAGAACCATAATTTGCAACAGCCAAATCAGTTATGTTATCACCATTGAGATCACCTGTTGTCACTGAATATGGAAAATAACTAGTGTTATTTTTGGGTTGAGTTAGAAATCGTGTAGTACACGCTAAAGTGAGACAAAATAGAGTTACTGGTTTAATTTGAATTGGCGACAGCAAATGAGTGTTGATGTGTTAGCATTTGACGCGAAATGTGCAGTGCTGTTTTTTTGGTATCCTCGTGGATACAGTTGAAAAAATGGAGCATAGTTGCATGATACTGGTGTTGGTATGTAGAAACAATGTGGAAGCTGTTAGGATGATTGCAAACGTAGGTAGCAAGAAGATATGTGTTTTAGGTTAAGAAGAAGTGAATGATTCATCGCGTCTGTGTATGCGTGGGTGCCATTGTTTTTATCTCTAAATATCTTTGAACGTCGCATGTTATTGAAACTTCTGTTGCAACCGAATGATACTCGAATGATAGAGGGATTTCTTTCAGGAAAAGTGACCGCTTTCAGCTCACGGTTTTCTTGAGTAGTCTGTGGGTTGTGAGAAAGCCAGATTGCGGCGCAAGTTTGATCTTGAGTGGAAGCAAAATCTGTTCTCTATCTCGGATAATGTCGCCCTACCAATTAATGAGAGTGAAATCAAAACTCAGCGAAGTGTTTTCTTGAGAAATGCTTTCCTGGAGTTTTTTCTTTTCGAATTCATCTGCTATGCTGGCCTAGAGAGAAAAGTCATTATTAAGTGAAAATCAACTTATGCTGGTTCATTGTACAGAATCAGAAATTAGAACTGGAAGTAAATAGAATGATAGAGTTGAAAATGTTTGTTCGTTAAATGAAAAACATTTCAAGTTAGTTCTGGGTTCCCTTTACTTTCTTCAGCTGCGGTGTCTGCTACCTTACAGAAAAAGTAAACAGAAACGATCAATGTGTTGCGGATTCACCGAACTTCGAAGGAGATAGAATAATTTTAATTACCCCGTTAAAAAGGTTAATTATCTTCGTGCCGAGGGTTGACGTTACTGGGTGTGTGTGTGTGTGTAGGGAGGAGCGACATCCCCCAAAAAATAAAAATAAATCGATTTTTTCATGTAGAAAAAAAAGATTTTCTTTCGTTCTTCGATAAAAAAAATTGTTGTCTCAATGGAGTATCCGCCCACAAGGTCTGAGTGGTCGCGGCAGCCCTGCTCGTGTCTGACACTAACATTCGCAAATGTGTGTATCTCTTAGTTGTTGCAAATACGAGTTGCGCCAACTATGATTTCTATCAGTATATCAAATTCAAGATCACACAGCTTACCAGCGTGTGTTCTAGAGGGTTGTTTACTCCTTGTCGATCGAGTGCCCAGCACTATTCCCAAGATAATCACCGCAATAATGGTCACCACTGCTATCCCGAGACCAACTTTCCTTTTCATGTACCAGACGCTACGAAAAATTCATAAATTGAGTGCAAAACACAAAAGAGCATGACGATGAACATTTACCGGTGTTTGAATGATTGCTGATTACTGAACTCAGTTTCATTTGGGAAGAGTTGGGCACCTTCAAATCACAAGAAATGATTATAGTCAAATGAAATTGATATTGACCATTCGAATGCATCCACTTCCTACGATGTGAATCATGCTTGATGTCTGACGTTCGAAAAAAGAAAGTCGATCTGTGTTTGTGCAGAAATTCAACCTACCTTCAAATGGGGGCTCAAGCAGTTCATGCCTAGGTTGTTTTTGCTTCAAATGAACAATGAAGAGATCGGTGGCCGGATTCAAATGTGACAACACTTCAAAATGCGTGCCCGGTAATAGCAATATCTCATCTTCAGTTGGAAAATGCGAATGATTTCGTATAGTTCGTCCGTTGAGTGTTTCAATAGAAAATAGAGTTCGCGTTCCAACTTTGCCCAAGTACAAATCTGACTCGAGAACACTCAACGATGTTGTGCACGATGAAAATCCCCACCATGTGGCTTCAGCGCCTTGTGGATATGCATTACTTCGATCTGTGTGAACCCCTCGCCACACAATTTTACCAGGCGTTGGTGGAAGTTTGGCCAAGGCAGTGAAAAGTAATTTAAGGTATCGAAACCATGGTCTAAGTTGAGTTCGATCGGGCTGTTTAAGTATTGCATTGAGACGTAAATAAAGACTTGCACAAGGATCGTTAGAGTCCCATTCAAAAGTGTAGAGACGAATGGCGGCTGACTCGTCGTGGGTGAGATCATCGGCAGGGTCTTTTGATTCTTCTTTAGCAATACGAATGTAAGCCGATAGATTAACAACGATCGGCAATAGCGGTTCGCAAGCTTCCTCTAGAGAGAGAAGCGGCTCAGAAGCATAACCAACGATAGGCTCTAGAATTCTTCCTGGGTCCTTCTCGATACCTACTAAATAATGTGGATTTCGGCGTCCAGATGTAAAATTAGCCATGTAAATGTTCTCTAATTCTGTCGCACGTTGTTTTACGATGAGAAACACAAAATACTGTCAATAAATACAGAAGTCAAGCGTGTCGTGTTAATGATGCATGATTGTCTAAGATGTGACACACAACCTTGTGCACTCTTCTTGTATAAAGAAGTTTCTAGTCGATTTAATGTAGAATTAATAGTAATATTTACATCTAAGAAATGAATATTCCTGTTACTTGTTTCAAATGTATATTTTAAATTACTATTTACATTATTTAATAGATTTTGTAGTTCATTAATAATAGATGAATCATTTGAAAGGAGAAGTATAAGAATATCGTCGAGAA